GTTTCATGTCGGGGCCAACCCAGAAAGAGTGTTGAACAAGGGGAGGTATGGAGGATAGTGGAGACTTGTCACTCAAGCAGTCTTTTGAAAGAGCCCATTTTGATTACATTCTCATGAACAATCAGGTCCCTGACCTTACAAAATCTCACATGTGCGCCTTTCGCTTCAAGTTAAAATAAAAATTAGCATGGGTGATTTACTTGTCCTTCTGCACCAACAAAATTTCAAGGACAAAATGAAACATGGCCTGCAGGTTTCAGGAAAAACGTATAAAGAGGAGGTAAATGAGCACATTTTTTCTGAATCTTAAAATAAAACGTTTGGAAGGTTGAAAGTTGTTCCATAATCTCTAAGCGTCTTGTTTTGAGGAACATATTGTCACTGAAACGAGAATATGTGTGACACTTCATTAACTCACTAAGAAACCTGCAAATTGAAGCAACTGTGTGAATAACTCTTCTTATCTTATCTTATCCTTGTCCGGTTGCTGCCAGCAGTCATGAATGAGTTAGGGAAATCTCATTTTGAACTGAATACCAGTCCATTTCCTGGAGTTTGGTTTTTTTCCAGAAAGTATACAGCAAGTTAGAATAGTTTGTTAACTATTCAAATCAATCAGTCGATCAGTCAACGGTTTATTAGCCTTAGCGACGTAGTTATTATCAGCAAAAAAATGTTTGTTAACATAGTAGGTGCGATATATCATCATCAGCCTTTCTCGAACCAACTTAAAATGAAGACCTCTCCAAGACTTTACCATAAACTACTGCATGCTACGATTCCTATCCATTTTGAGGAAAATTACTTCTTCATTTCGTCCTACCGTCGATTTGGAGGTTCTCCTACGATTTGTTTACTGTCGCTTCTGGAACCCGGTTCAAAGTCTCATTCGTCCAGTGTTGGTCGACGTTTCTTACAACGTGCTATGCCCATTACCACTTCATATTCTTCATTCGCGTAATGACATCGTCGAATTCTGTTTGTGCTTTTTTCTATTCGTTCATCATATCATTTCCTCTTTTTATTTCCGGAATGCATTTATTCAGGCGGCGTTTCACTGTTTGCAACTTACGAATCGCATTTGGAGTTATGGTCGACGTTCCTCATACAAAGGATGCCCTAAGAGCACACATTCATAGAAAAATTTCTGTGTTCAGTACAAAGACAGTTTCTCAGATAAGAACATTTTCAATCTTCCAGAAGTACTCCGTGACATTTTTACTCTTCTGTTGTTGACCTCAGACAGTCGGAACTCCGTTGCAGAGATGGACTGTCCCACATTATGTAGGCTTGTACCTCTTTTAGATCTATGTCTTAAACATGACCCAAGTCTTCTTTAGGCAGTTTACAGTACTTCATCTCTAGAATTCTTTGTTGGGGCTTTTGCTGACCTTGAAACGATCAGAATATTATTCCCAAACTGAATATTTAAGCCTAAATATTTAGGGCACTTTATATTCTTCTCTTGATTTTCTCTGCGGGAGCACCTTGAAACAGCTTCTAGGGCTGTAAATAACTTTGGCGATAATGCCTCTCCATGTCAGGTGTCCCTTTCATTTTTAACTTTCTTGTGGTTTCGTGAAGCTTCAAGTTGGCACTTGCATGCATGTCAGTCATGAAGAATAGGTTTCTGTATCTTTTCTAGATTTCTTGGTTCCTGAATGAATCCTGTAGAAAACGATTATTTCTAGTACCACATGCTGTTCAGTCATTTTACTACCTCTTTAGTGAGCACAATGTATAAAATAAATAAGTCACAATTACTCACTGAAACCTAACCCTACTCCAACTGCTTTCAAACCTGTTCTATCTCGCCATATCCTCTTTAGATTGCTTGCGGCCCCTCACTCCTACAATGAGTAATTTGAATCATCGTTATTACTGATCACAAACTATCTCGATATTTTATTTCTGAACTGTCTTTCGGTCTCTTTATAATATTGTTCATTGATTATCATGGTCATATTCTATCGCACCACTAAATCGATATTCCTTAGACGCGAGGTGCAATTTTTAATATAGGTCGAGTTTTTAGTCATTATTTTTGTTTCACCATGCTGAAAGACTACTTCGAAAAACGATCAATGTGCAATTCGTCAACTAGTGAAAAAACGTTCATTTTTTTAGATGCTGATTCTGATGGTTGTCATATTCGCGTTATGCTGGATTCCGTTCAACGTCCTCAACCTCCTTCGTGACTTACAGCCTGGATCGATTGATACGAAGTCGTATTTCATTTTTCTTTTCATCCTGGCTCATCTGATTTCTATGAGCGCCACTGGATGGAACCCTATTCTTTACGCGTGGATGAACGAAAACTTCCGGCGGGAGTTCAAATTCGTATTACCATGTTTCAGAACCGTCCCAAAGCGGACCACCGTCTGCAGGTCTACATTTCGGGACAGCGAAGCGCCTCACGACGAGGAAACACCTCTAAGAAATGCCAAGGACAATGAGTACAATAAGTCGAATGCCCTCACACGAAACTTTTCAGACGGTGGTAACCAGCATAAGGTGGCCGAAAACGAGAAAAACAGCAAATTCGTGGACGTCGCCGAGTCTGTGGGACATATCCTGGCCAATAGCGCCATTGAGGATCAGCGAGACCATCGTTTTGACTTGTAGCGTGACATTCCAGTGCGGCTCAAAGCCGTCAGAAACCAGTCTCTGTCACAGCGCATTACCATCACAGACTTCTGACACCCTGAGGTTGTTTGTGTTCCCGCCAATCGTATTCTGCAAATTAGCCTACCGCCACGACTCTAATGACATCAGTGTATGTTTTTATCTGTAACATATATTCTTTTTATTTTGTGACACTGTTTGTGAAATAAGAGGATGATATGACGCTAAGCCTGACCCAGAGTAAAATTTTCATTTTAATGTTACAGAAACTGAGCATGAATCGCCATTTGTATGAACTGCTCAGATGGTATGGGTTTGAAAATCTACCTGTTTTAATTTACTTGCATAAATGGACACTGCAATTCGTAAAAATGCTTGGCAGATCTCCTTCCAACCATTCCTCTGCATCGTGTTCAAAGTAAGAAAAAACGCGTTACTAAATTTTAAGGAGATCACGTAACAAACGAATGCGCTGATCGACCAACTGACTCAGGACTGACTGATCAGCGTATCACTTTCCAATTTTATTTAATTAATTAAAGCTAATTTTTAAAATTAATGCAGATGCTTAAAGATGCCTTAGAAATAAAGAATTTTCTACGGAAAAAATCCTTATGAAAGAATTCACTGATATTTCTCTCTATTCCAAACGGCTTCGATAAGA